TAAAGGATTAAAAATATATATATATATATATATATAATTAAAAATCATATAATAAAATAAAAATATTCATGTTAAACTCGAAAAATTTAATTTTTATTCTGGTATTTTCTATAGCTTAATTAATATGTGATTAAGTGCAACATAATTCGCAAAAGTGGGTGACAGAATTGGACTGGAAAATAGTCGTATTTATTTCGGGCTCAGTTCTCTCAATCAGATCGCCTTCCAATGTGAACCCACGATAGACATGAGAGAAAAGACCCTCTTAGTGCTTATAGAGCGAAAAGAGGGGGGGAAACAAGTTAGATAAGGTACAGTTTAGAAATATAAATTTCTATTTTTACTAAAAATATTGAAAAATAAATATCTCTACAACGTTTGAATACCGCTACTTTAAAGACCATAATTCCATAATTTCGAGAAATACAAAAATATTAATTTCCCATAACTCAGAATTCCAATGTGATTCGAAAAAAAAAGCTGATGAGAATTATCGGAATATATATTTATAAAGTTAGAAGCAACTTAACAACGATTACGTAATTCCACTGTATTAATCTATGACCTTAAGTGATGCTTATCTATCATTTTTACAATTTAACAGTATTTAAATAATAATATAGAAATCAAGATATAATAAAAATCAGAGCATCTAAATATGAAAATTTATTTTAAAAAACTCGTTTTTGATCAAAATTATAGTTAAAAATACAAAACTTTCGTTTTCATTTCTGTTCCCTGTGTCCTAGGGACATACAATGAACATGAAAAAGTTTTCTAAGTTGAGAATAGCCGAGTATAGGGCCATGGTGTCCGATATATTAGATCAAATCTCCAGTGAAAATTTGAGTCGACCTAAATTTTAACTCGAATAGTTGGAGCATTAAAAGTAGAAAGTGCCATTAATGCCTCAACCGTACGATCGTCAATGCGAAACTTCAACATACTTGAGTCTTGAACTGCGGAAATCTAATGTACAGTATTATTGATAATGAGGAGATTGTGCGTTTCCGCTATCAGAGCCTATCCAAATATAAACTATGACGTTATCTCTTACACTTAACAAAATTTGCTGATTTATTGGATGAATAGAATAGTTAGTATTACGGATTTTTCTTTATCAACAGAATTATTATTATTAATTTTGCATATTGCGATTTAATTTCTTATTTTATTTAAAAATTTTTCCGAAGTCTTGGTGAATTGCAATATCACACATATAGGAAGAAATAAATAATTTTGATTTAGCCTTCATCAGACTTTCTTCAAAAGGATGCTGTCATTGATAATATTAAATATTCTGTCATTGACCTGCCAGCAAAAACTTGTAGAGGGAAAGAATGTTTTGCTGATAATTGGTAAGATTTATAAATATATATTATATATATAAAGTTTTGTTAATTGACATAATGTTCAGTTTCATTATTTATGTACAGTACATGTAAAGTATTTCTAAATATATACTATTTAAGAATATAAAATTTAAAAATTATATTGTCCAACACATCCTTATTCCTGTTTTCTTATAATCATAACTGATATAATACATAACAGATATCTAAATATTTATATGTAATAAAATTGTTATCTAAATCCACTAGTTACTGATTCTTTCAATTGTAAACATTAGGTTTAAAGCTTATATATTTTCAAAATCTGTGAATAATACAAATATAAAAAATATCTAAATATATTTACCTTTAAACATTATTAACTTAAAACACATTAAATATTAAATAAACTCCAATTAAAAATTATATGTTGGAAAAATAATTGTAAATTGTATTAATTTATTAATCATAAATGACAATGAAGGTTTGTTGTACATACAATAAAATGAATTACATAAAAAGTTATAAAATTTCCAATATCCAATGGATTGTTACAAATTATTAAAAGTTAAAATTTAATAAGAAATTAATTCTTAAAGTTAATTATTTTAGAATTAACAAAATATGATTTATTAAATCTTTTAATATTTCCTTTAACAAAATATTTTAATACTTCAAAAATATATTTACTTTACTTAAGTATGTAATACAAATCATCCATTTAATTAAAAAGTTTGTAAATAATGCAGTTAAGATATTAGAGATATAGATAAACTTCATTAACTTTTTATTATATTGAATAAAAATGTTGATTTAATCATATAATAATTTTCTTTTTAGCTGATGATGCTGGATTAGAAACTGAAATATATAATAATTCTGTTTGCAAGACACCTAATTTAGATAGGCTTTCAAAGCGTAGCATTATATTCAAAAATGCATTCACATCTGTTAGCAGTTGTTCTCCTAGTAGATCAGCTATATTAACTGGATTGCCTCAACATCAGAATGGAATGTATGGATTATATCAGGCAATGCACCATTTTAGTACTTTTGATGCAGTGAAGAGTCTCCCTTTTCTTCTCCGCAAGCACAATATTTTTACAGGTATTAATTTTTTTTTCTTAATTAAATTTGTGTAATATCTATTTTGATTTTAAAATGTTTCATTAAGTAATTTTTGTAATTTAAGTAGCAAATCATTTTATTAGTTTTAATTTTTACCATAGGTATAATTGGTAAAAAGCATGTTGGACCTGAAAAGGTTTATCCATTTGATTTTGCTTATACAGAAGAACCTGTAAAACTCTAGAAACTTCAGAAATTTTTAAATCAACCCGATATATATTTATTTATTTATTATTGGGTTGATGCAAAATTTATTTTTACTCTTCTTCTCATTTCGTTACTTTATTAGTAAAAGTTTAAGAAATTCTATCACCGCGGGACTGACAGAAAATGAACGTTAAACTGGAAATTCGTCATAAATATGTTCGCACAACTCAAAAATTTTGTTCTGTAATCTTAGAGATTGGGTCGCGGAAAATCTGAAAATTGATTACAGTAGAACCTCGAAAACTCGTCCCTCGATAACTTAGCACTCCGGATAACTGGTCCACACCTTGGCAGGGCGAAAAAATCCTTAGTTAATTAATTTTCATTATAGACAGCTTTATAAAAGTATAAAAGCTCTCANATTTTATTAGTTTTAATTTTTACCATAGGTATAATTGGTAAAAAGCATGTTGGACCTGAAAAGGTTTATCCATTTGATTTTGCTTATACAGAAGAACACCATTCTATTTTACAAGTTGGAAGAAATATTACACGAATAAAAGAACTAGTGAAAAAATTTTTTCAAAAAGTTAATTCAAGGTTTGTGTATTATAAATAAATTTTATATGAATTAAAATGAAAGTAAATAGCATAGAAACATCTATAACTAAATAGCAAAAATTAATAAATCCATTTATCAGGACTCTATATAAAGTTTGAAATTCTAAATAAATTTAGTCAATTATTATTAACTATATTTTTTTCTAGGCAGTGTTTTACTTTTGGTCACTTCATAACTTTTTCAAGTAGTTTTGTACCTTTAAATTAATTAAAATATCTATAACCATAAGGCAGATAAAATATCTATAACCATAAGGCAGACATTGGTGTGATAAGCCAATTATCATTGGCTTATCACACCAATGATAATGGGCACAAATGCTCAAGAATCAAAGTAAAAATTTAATAAAACAAAAAGGGGGGTACAATAAGATGATTACATAAGTATAAAAACCATAAAAATCCAAAATGCATTTCAGACTATTTTCCAATGGAAAAATAGTCCCTCATCAGTTGGTAATAGCGAGAGGTCTTAATATATTTAAAATTATACAAGATGAAAAAATATCAAATTTAAAATTAAACTTAAAATATGCCTAAAACTATACAATATAAAGATGAAACCATCGTCATGACTGTATAAGCAGTAAGCATTATCAATGTAGACAGGATTAACATTTCTTCCTAATGGTAACATGATGAACAGGGTGCTGATACAAAAATAGTTATGAGTTAGCCAAAATATTGGTTAACAGTAATTTTGTACCTACAGTCGACCCCCCTATAATTACGGTCCCTATAAAACTATGAAAAAATATACGTATTTTGGAAATGTTGAGTCGGATTAGTGTAGAATCGATTAATTTTATGGAAGAAAACCTTTCAATCAGCTGTAGTCCATAAACTTGACACGTGTCGGGCTGTGATTGGAACGACTTGTAAGAAATCGGATTCCTAATAAATTGGAACGTATCTATATCTTATAGGGGGGTCGACTGTATTGTTCATTCTGTGCATTCCAATTTAGAACATTGTTGGTCTGAAGCAAACATGTGTAAGATCAAAAGCATTTGTTGAATTTACATTAAATATAACAATTAAAACTTTGACAATCCCAGTAAATAATTTAATTATAGACATCAATCTAGTTAACATGAAGTTAATTTTGTTTAATGGGCATGGTTTAAAAGTGTTTTTTATAATGTAGTCATATAACTTTCATGTTTTTTTTTTTTTTTCATTATTTCCAAATGGAGGGTACCCATCTCGATTATATTATAAGATTCATACCAAAAATTCCGCAATAATTCAACTTCCTTCAGACCAATCTTCATTTGCTTCACTCTCCTCTCAGCTCAACCTGTATTCCAACTTGCTTCACTCAATCCTGCTTGCTTTTCTCCTCCTTAGGCTAACCCTCCCTTTGCTTTGCTACTTGTTCAAAAATTTTGTGACAATTCATTGATTCCCAGTGCTGCCATTTGTTTCTTCAGACAAAACTGTTGTAATGATTTTAATATAAGTATTTTATATATATATATAGAATAGATATAAAATAGTATTTCCAAAATTTAATATGTAATTATATTTTTAATTCTTATTTTTACTTAGACCATTCTTTTTATATGTGGGTTTTCATGATCCTCATCGCTGTGGTCACACTCATCCTGAATATGGTGCATTTTGTGAAAAATTTGGTAATGGAGAGCCAGGGATGGGAAATATTCCAGACTGGACACCTACTTATTATTCACCCAATGATGTTATTGTACCTTATTTTGTGCAAGATACTTCAGCTGCAAGAGCTGATATTGCAGCACAATATACAACAATTAGCAGACTAGATCAAGGTTGATTTACTTATCTATTCTTTTATATAAATTAAATATTATATAAGAATAAATATTTCTAAAATAAAAGTTTTTTAATAATTAAAGCTATTCTTTCTTTGTATTGTGTATTTTATTTTTATATTTTTCTGTTTTAGGAATTGGGATATTAATGGAAGAATTAAAAACTGCTGGAAAGTTGGATGATACATTGATTATCTATTCTTCTGATAATGGCATCCCATTTCCTAATGGCCGTACAAATTTATATGATTCAGGAATAATAGAACCATTTCTTTTAAGTAATCCTAAAGTTCATGAACAGTGGGGAAAGGTATGTTTATTAATTATTTATATATAAATTTTAATTCATTAAAACTAAATAATAAAACTATTTTATGAAATCAGTATGTAATTAGATATTTTTATAACATTTTATTTTCTAAGACTTTAACTAAGATTTCACTTAAGATCATAAGCTTAAACAGAAATTATTTTAAATTTTATTGTACAATATTCAGAGAACTTTTTGAATCAATGAATATTTAGATTATTCAATTGCCTTTCAGTTATACTTCTTATGGAAAGTGGTACTGATATTAATGCTGGAGACAATGTTGGTCATACTCCTCTGCACTATACTGGTTCAAAAAGATGTATTTTTTTTTTTATAAGTACACAGGTCATCTTTATATTCATATCTTGGCAATCATTACAGTTTGTTTAGCTGTATGTTTGGCAATATTGCACATTGGACCACCATATGTTTATGGTGGTCCAATTGGAAGCTAAAAAATGTTTGAGTAAAACTCTTTCATTACATAAATCAGTCTTCTATCATATTTTGTTTTGTACCATATTGTCAAGCTTTATCAAGTATATTTCCACATTATAATTCATATCACAATAATAATAAAGCATATTTTTCTTCTCTTTTGAAATATTGAATGTTTTGTAATGGGTTTAAAATTTTAAATGCTTTGAAGATTCGTTCAACAAGATGAAATTTTTGAAAATTCAACCACTATTATGGCAAGTTACAATAAAATAACATGTAACCAATGAGCACATACAACAATTACCATCTTTAATTTTATACTATACTACTTTGTCAGAAATAAATTATGAAATATATATAATAATAATAAACTATTTTATACATAAACATTATTTAAAAATTATATTGATAAAAGGCAGTTTTACAAACCTCTAATTTCTTATAGAAAACCAAGAAAGGATTACTAAGCTTATATAATGATCACTTGACAGTAAATACCAAACATTTATAGTTTCTTAATATAAAAATATTAAATATATTCAATATTTAATTACAAGAAATCTAAAATTTTTCCTTTATTTATAGAAATCATTTAAGCATTCTAACATTCTGTTGTGTGAGTTCATTAAATTTTTTATATTTAATTATTATTATTTTGTTCCACTTAGTCCTTGGAGATTTCTAAGTCTAATATTCTCTATGCCATATGGTCTCATGCCAACTCTCAATTATGTTCTTACCAGTGTTATGCTAGTGAGAACTTTGCCAGCCTACTTTCTTTGTATCCTGATCATTCCTAGTGTACGGATCCTGCCCCGCTGGTTCGTCACACAGAACTCGAACAATCAAATATTTCTACACCAAAAAAACTTTATTCTCTAATTCCATTTTTGGAGGTTGCCACTTCACCCTTCCTCTTCCTACCGTGTCCCGACCTACTCTCCCTGCCTTTTTCTCCCCTTGATTTTGACCCTTTGTCTAAATTTCCTATTACCCTGTGCATCGACATGTTATGAAAGTTTTCAGTTATCCCACCAATTGTTGGCAGGACCGTAATTTCCACCGTAGTTGCCTTTATATTGAAGATCATAGTTACTTCTTCCATAACCAACAGCGGAAGATGAGTATTTATTTGACACTGCGATGCGATTTGTGCTGCCTCGATCATGGCTGAACAGACGAACCACTGTTCATGACGAAGTTCATGATCAGTTCCCTGACCTTCTGAAAAGCACTGTGATCTTTGCAAATCATTGTATGTCTCATTTAGTGACTTTCCTTTACTTTTAAACTATAGATCACACACTCTCGCCATGTCGATGTTGTTAAACCAGCCTCAACCTGACAACAGACACTTATATGAGCTGTCGTGTCGGCATCCAGCGTCTGGAATAATCTATCCGGCATGATTAGTTGTTTTAAAGCTTCTAGGTCCTTCACTCTCCTCAACTCACAATAACACTCCCAAGCCAATGCTAACCTTGACATAAATTGCACATGAGTCTCATTGGGCCTACACATAGCACCTCAGAAGTTTTCCAGGCAGCATTGGGCTGACGATTCATATTCTCACAATACCAATTTCTTGATGCTTAAGTAGTCCCTTAATTTGTCTCTGGTTATGTAGAATACCATATTTTGACAAGTATAAGTCACACTTTTTTTACTACTTTTTGAGGCTCAAAATCATGGTGTGTCTTATACTCAACAAGTAACCATTTTTACAGTGAAATTATCTACAGTAGTGGTCCACTCTAGGGACCAACCTGTGCAGTGGTCCATTAAGCAGATGATCCCTCAACCGAATGGCTAGAGTACCTAGATTATCAGAGTAGCAACACACGAGTCATCGCCGCCATGCTCTGTTGACTGTCATCACGTGATCTCCAAGTTTACATTAAGAAATGACGATTATTTCAGTTTAATAAAGGTATCGATTCATCCATTCATCATATTCTTGAATAAAAAAACAAATAAAATGCATCTTTAGACAATCCCATTAAAAAAGTTTTTTTCTAAATTTTTTGTCTCAAAATAGGGATGCAACTTATACTCATCAAAATACGGTAATATGTTTGTGGCTTTTTCCCCCAGAATATTGATCAATATCTCGGCTTTCATATCCTCTGGTACATTCTTTGATTGAAATGCTTGCTATATGGATACAAAAAATAGGTTCCAATTTTTGGGCTTTGTTGGGACTGGCAGGTTTAACGTTTTCACACTTGATTAATTTCTCAATACTGATAACAGGCCCATCACCTGGGTAGCTGTATGCAAGGCTAGGATTATCGTTACTCGTCCTACTTTGAATATTAGCACATAAGCACCAGCTCCAACTCATGCTGGTGTTCCCTCTCTCTCTCTCTCGGTTTCTACCCGTGTCCTTTCAGCCTTTCTTGTTCTTCCTTTTGTTTCCTCTCTGTAGTGGTAGAGATCAAATTTTCCAACACAAAATCTGGGTCACTAGCAAAATTGCCACTTTTTATAATAAGTTCCCATAACTCCGATACCTTCAGATCATCGTCTATTGTGCCACGATCCGTAGATCCTTTTTAATCCCTTTATGCTTAGTATTCTGCTGTAGATTTCATTTCCGACAAAGTAAAAAGTTTTCCTACCTCTTCAGTGTAAAACCTGTATATTCCTCAAACCTTTGTGCCATGCTCAATTATCCACTCAGACCAGTCGTCGATCAACTCTTCTTATTCTGGATCGTAATCACTTTTTTCATGGATTGAATCTTGTCGATCTGGCTTCACTATCCTGTCGGCTGCGCCAATGTAGAGAATTCAATCTGATTTATGGATTCTGTCCCACCAGTTTGTCACACAGAACTTGAACAGTCAAATATTTCTACACACACAAAAAAACCATTCTCTAATTCCACTTTTGGAGGTCACCACTTCACCCTTAGCCAAACTTCATCAAATTTGCAACATGTTCTGATAAAGCACACTTTCTAAGTGTGCTTTACCAGAACATGTTGCAAATTTGGCAGCTGAAAGACTATCACATCTGCATATGAGAAGCATCAGAGATTCAATTATGTTCAGTTGTTGAATCCATTGTTATTTGCCTTCTGGTTTTATACATTTAAAATGGGAACCGTATTAAGCAATATTACCTGCATTTCTAATGGCTCTGTACTGTACAAATAACATGTTTGCTGCTTGCAGCATCAAAAATGCTATAATAAGTTTGGGACATTTTTTGTTTTTTACAGAAATGTTACCTTACCAGATTTGGTTGAATTTGAACTGTTAAATCTCTCTTCAGACTAAATTGAATTTGTTCTGAAAATGCATACATGCACATACTCAAAGTTGTACTGTATATGAAGTGAAACAATTCAATTTGTTCTTAAATAAATATTTTTACAGATATATAATAATTTGGCATCAATTTATTATAGATAGATTCATAGATGCATAAATTTGAACATGAATAGGGTAAGTGGTTTTCGATACAGTTAGTGTATGTACAGTATAAGTAGAATTATAATGAATTTTGTTACAGAACATATTACTAGATATCTTCTGAAACTAGTCTGTAGATCCCAATTTAGAAAATACTACACTACAATTATCATTTCATTTTTCTAATACATATTTTCTACTTTCCTTGACAATTGATCAAAAATGATCAGCCAGATTTTTTTACACCTTGACTTGGGACTTTGAAACACCAAGAAATACAAAAAGTTAGGGTTTTTCTGTATGTTTGGATGTAATTTTGTTCACCCACTTTGAAGCTTAATAACTCTTGTGCCTTTTGTTGAAATGTTATGAAATTTTGCAAGGAAGTTTGTGTATTAGGAAGAATTGATGCTATTAAATTTTGGTGGATAAAAAGGTCAAGGGGTGGGGAGAAAGAGGTGGGATCAGACTTAATGATTTTATTTGTTATTAGCATTTACAATTTTTTTTTATAAAACTCATCTCTATGCCATTTTATAATAATTAATAATATAAAAACTCAAAATTGTATGGCACCATCTGTTAACTTTTTTGCAAGTTTAGACTAAGTGTTTTTTTAACAATTTGTATTATTATTACTAAAAGTTATATTTTTAAATTCTGGATTAATAAATGTAATCTATTCCAATGTTTTAACAAATTCAAGTAATTAGTGTAATAGAGTTAGAATAGTATTTTAACAAATTTTCACTTAGTGTAATACAAAGTAAAATGAAATAAGATAAATTTATATAATAATTTTTTTTTTGTTTTATTTTTCCATTATTTTAAATTTTGTTACTTCAAAAATCAAGTTTATAATGAATTAATTTTATGTTTCCATGTATTATTATACATTAACAAAACTCTTTTTAACAGGTTTCTGAAGTTTTGGTAAGTCATCTGGATATTACTCCAACAATTTTAGATTGGTTTAATGTGCCATATCCAAATTATGAAATTTTTTCACAACCTGTCTCTCTTAGTGGAAAGTCATTATTACCTTATTCAACAAATAAACCACAAAACAAAACTCCCAAGTTTATTTTTTCTAGTCACAGTCTTCATGAAATTACCATGTATTATCCAATGAGATCTGTAAGAAGCAAACAGTATAAATTAATACATAATTTAAATTATAAAATGCCTTTTCCAGTTGATCAAGATTTTTATATATCTCCTACTTTTCAAGATTTATTATATAGGACTCATAATAATATTTCCACTCATTGGTTTAAAGAGTTGAAACATTACTACTACAGACCAGAATGGGAACTTTATGATATAATTAATGATTCTAAAGAAACAAATAATTTAATAAATCAATCAAAATATGCTAATGTGACTAAAATTCTTAAAAAATCTCTCATAAAATGGCAAAACGAAACTAATGATCCTTGGCTATGTTCCCCTGGAAGTGTATTGGAAAATATTAAGTATTATAGAATGCAGTCTCATTGTATGCCTTTATATAATGATGTGTAATTATATATAATGTCAATATAAAAAAAAATATTTTGAGTTCAATTAACTGGAAACACTTTTTTATTTAAGCAAAATTGCATAATAATTAACTTTTCAGCAGTGGGTTATGTAATGGAGAATAAACGTGGGAAATTTTTAAAGTATTTTTCCATGCATTTTTTCTCATTACCGTTTCAGAAAAAGATTTTGTAAACAGTTATGTCTAGTAAAGAAAAATCTTTTCTTATTATTACATAATTCCTTTTTTTAATGTGAATTTTTTTTTTCGCGGTAGTTAGTTTTCAGCAATATCTGCAAAAGAACTTTGCGGATATATCCATCCTTCACACTGCCACACGATCGTCCTTGACGGATGTATCCATCGGTCACTCCTGAGTGGTTAATGAAGGTGCCACATATTCTTAGTGATTGATTTCAACGGACTATGATTAAAGAGTGTAGGATTTTGTTCTGGATTTGGAAGCCAGAAATAATTATAATTTCCACTCAAATAAATGGCATTAACTAAACTTTTAACATGGTTTAGTATTTTATGTTTGTGGCTATTACTTTTTATCTTCTGGTCAGTACAAATTTTACAAAACACACTTTAAAATATGTAACCAGCAAACAAGTGAATGATTAGATTAATTAATCCATAAAACACTGTAAAATGTATTCTATTCACTTTCAATATGAAGATGGCCTAAATTATATTGAAAACATTTCATATTAAATATATTTTTTGTCAACCTGAAAAAATATAAATTAATCCAAAAACATATTACAAATTTTATGCACAGAATTATCATAAAAGTGTTTTCTTAATTTCTAACATCCTTTACACACTTCAGGAACAATCTGTCTGACGGTGGAGTCAACTTTCCTGTATAGGCTACTTCCCCCGCTTCAATATGTATATATGGTAAAAAATATTCCCAGGCTTTTGGCACAATCTTATAAAATTAACAATTAAGGCATTTAATTGTTAATCCAAAAACACTGATAATTTATCAATTCTAAAATGTATACTTCAAAATTTTGTATGATTTACTTATAGTGTAGTAAAGCTTTTTTCTAACTTAATGCAATATTATGTAATAAAATCATGTAGCTAAGTAACACATACAATGTAAGAAGATATTGTGTTAAAAATGTTAAATATCTGATTTATTGTATATTAGAAATACTTATCTCGGAAGTTTGTGTTCATTAATCTCAAACCAAACTTGAAATTCATTTCATGTCAGCTGGAATAAAATTTTAAAGTAATTTTCAATTGATACTGAAAATGAATTAATTTTATATATCAAATTATATGAGGTGGTTTCAAAAAGTTCGTGGAAAAAGGATAGTATGAAAAAAAACGATTTCAGTTATGATGTTTATTTTTCAACATATGCTCTATTAAGGTCGATACACTTCTGCAAACATTGACACCAGCCTTTAATTCCGTCTGGGTAGAACTGAGGGTCTTGTGATCTGAACCATGTCAGAGCAGCTCTTTTTACATCTTCAACTGGCGGAAAATTCGTACCTTTCAGTGACTTATCCATTTGTAGGTTGTTGACTTCTTTGGAGCATTATCACCATAAATTTGTTCCAGAGCATCAATGATTTGCCTATTCTTCCAACCAAGTTTTACCATAAACTTTGTTTGTTCTGGTCTTGATTTTGTGGATTCCATGTTGCTTGAATGGTGCCTGACTTTCAACTGGTGGCACTGTGTTCTTACCTGCATTTAAGGGTTCATGTTTGAACATGTTATAACACGTTGATACAAGAATGTTCAGGTGCATTGAAATCAAAATTCTTCCAAACAATTTTTAGTTACAGACTTTTTCCACAAACTTTTTGAAGCCCCACGTATAGTTTAAATAAAAACAAGATTAAAATCTCATAATTTATTTATTTATTTTTTTAGTAAAGTTTGTAATTTACAGAATATACAATTTATCAATCTGAAATGAATAATAATACAATATTAAAAACTAAACTTCTTAATTTTTACAGCACCTTTAAATTTCTTTCAAAACTAAAGACAAGTTTTGAATTACAGTACTCTATTCTTATCTTCAAATGGAAAACTTGAGCATAACAATCAGTTTTGAGAAATGAAATTCAATATAAAGTATAATAAATTAGTAAAAGCATTTTTTTAAAAAAAGAAAAACAGCAATAAACTATCATAAGGATGAAAAACAACTTTAACAAAGGAACTGAATGATACATATAAACAAATTTATAAAGTGGGATCATATAAATAATGTTTTTTTGATTACAAAATTTATAGCATTGAATATCTACAAATCTGGAAGCAAATATTATTTTCAAGAGATTATTATAATTTAATATTTTTAATTATTGAAATGTAGTGCTATATTTAAAAAGTTTTGATTTTCAATTATATATAGCTTATAAAGTTAAACTAAATATTTGCTTCAAGATTCACATATTCCCTCCCATGAAAAATCTGTCTACATATAAATATTAACAGTTTAAAAATTAATCTACTACTAATTTTTTGTCCCTGTAACCTATATTAAAAATAATTTTAAAAATCAAAGAATTAAAATTTGAAATTTTGTGACCTTAATAAGAACTAATGATCATACAGAAAAGGGACAATCATTTCCATCTGAACAGAACATGATTTAAATCTAGAAGCACAGCTTCAAAAATAATGACACAAAATGTTTCAAACATAATTATATCACCAAAATTTTGCAACAATATTTAACAAAATTTATTTTACATTAGAAATGATACTAAAGTTCATTCTACAGTAGTTCTGTGATTACCCCAACCATGAAAACATTTTGTAAATCTTTTGGATTCCTTTCCTTTTAGAGTCAGCATCAATTTTCGTGGACGGTCTGGTTGTTTGACCCGAAGATTTTGTACGTAAACCTTTCAAAACAAAATGTTAATTTAATTATCTGTTTCTAATAAATATATGTAATAATACATTATAATAGCAGCAGCTTTTTACCTGTGCACTTTTATATGCCAGTTTGATTTCCACTTCACTACATTTGGAGCCAACCCATAAAAACACTTGATTTCCATTATCAAGAATCATTATATCGTCATCTGCTAAATCATCCTGACAAAAATCTGAGCATTTTTCTGAAATTGAGAAATAGCCTTTTTCGTTTGAACAGCGGAATAAGCGTGTGTATTGCATGAATTCTGCATCCTAATAAAAAAAATTATTTTGGGTTATATAATTTTTGCTATTTAATATAAATATACTTTAAGAGTAAATGTGACAGACCTTATCATATTCCTTCTTTCCACCAAGACCCACCCAAAAGAAATTTTCTGGTTCATTTCCTTCATTTATTATTTGAATACTGTGAGTTTCCTATAAATATTATTTTTAAATAATATGAAATAGTTTTCTAACAAATAATAATAATCCATATTATTGTTATATAACCAATTACAAATGCTATATATTAAATTACTAATATTCATTAAATATTTTTATGTATTAACTAATTTTCTACAGTACAACAATACTCATTGTTTTTAACTAATATTTCCTATATTATTTATAAAAACATTCCACAGGAACTTCATTAAATACAAGAGCATATATGCATTTTGGATATTTACACCCCTCATCAGTTCAAGTGTCTGATAACATAAATGATATATTTTAATATATGTTGCAATAGTACATTGCAAACAAATTCTAATCAATAATCACTTAGTAGGTACAACAAACTTTCTTGTTTGTTGTAGTTTTTGTATAACTAGGTATTTATATGTGCTACTTAATATATTAATTTATATTAAAAAGTTAACTTGATTGCAACTTTATAATTGTAGGTATCTGTGGAGAATCAGGCATTGAACGAGTTGCAGTTGAAGGCAAAGTTAGATTAACAAAATATTAGAGGAATACACTTGCAAAAATCAATTTAATGCTGATGAATGACTTTTAACAAGTTCTAACCAAATGCCTTGTTTTGAAAGTGGGATTGTTGCAAAAGAAGAAAAAAAGTGGTTTAATGTTCTTTTATGTTTCTATGGGAGAAAAACTAAAACCTTTGGTTATTCAGAGAAAATATCAAACTGAAAAAAATCTTCTGGTAGTTTAGCATTGGAACAAAAAAGCTTAGATGACATCAATAATGAAATAAAAGCATAACTTTTCTTTTTTGTCTATTTTTTTAATACATAATGCCTCAAGCTACAAGAACACAGTATCATTTAGTAATGCAAAAGTTAAATTTTTGTAGCCTAGTTTACAAGTGTGTTAGTGAAATGCAATCTTTAGATCAGGGTATAATTCAATGTGCCATAGATGCTTACTGGAAAAAATGCTGTAATTTTTAAATAAACTGAAGTTTGTTAATCAGTGGCTGATTTAAATAAGAATGTAAATGGTCTGGACACAACTAGATGGATTCATTCAATCTGGAAGAACTATTTCCATTGAAAAAAAAAAAACTGTTTTAAAATCTGAATTTCTCAACACTGAATTCAATGAAGATTTACTGGAAGATAATACCTTATTTTTTTTTTATTTAACCAAACGACCCTATGACCATTGGCCTTTTTCAAGGGTCAAAAAAAAAAAAAGATGCAGACATATAATATATACAATTAATAAAACAAAAAAAAAAACAAAGAGAGAGAATAATAATAAAATAAAAATACAACTAATCGCAGCTCAATATTTTTACAGTCCATTTAAATTGCCCATAAGTACTCAAATCTTTGTATTCTTCTTTTAAAGCATTCCAGTTATATATAAGTTGATAGATTGGTGCATCTCGTCCAAAACAGTGCTTAACTTTTGGTAGAATCAAATTTTTCCATCGATAGTTGTAGTTAGAAGGCCTAAGGCATTTATTTAATTCATCACTTATATAAGATTCTTTCTTGCTCACCTTTATTAGTTTAAAACTTTCTAGAAGAACTTGTTTTTTATATAAAGCTTTTATTTGATCAATTTTGATCTGGTTATAAAAAGAAGTGACAGAAGAATCATAAGGTAACTTATATAATGTTCTTATAAAGTTATTTTGTATAACTTGCAACCTACTCAATACAAAAGAAGCTGCACCCCATACGGAAATACCATATCAAAGTTTAGGTTCCATGCAAGCGTGATATAAGTGCAAAACAGTCTGAAAATTTAAAAAACTTATTATTCTTTTCAGTATTCCAATAAATCTAGATAAAGACAGTGTTAAATTATTTATATGATTATTCCTTCGTAATTTATCATCAATTTCGATACCTAAATATTTTACAGTATTAACTCTATGAATACGTTCATTATTTATTCTAACTTGTATATCTTCTAAATTAACATTTTTTTTTTTTGTTTGATAAACAAATATACAGGTAACTCCCATATAACACGGTAGTTACGCTCCAAAAAATTGCCGTGTTATGCGAATCAAAGAACTAGTATGAAAAGGAGGGTTAGGTTCCAAAAATTAAAAAACATGCTACTATATTTTCATAATTAAGTTAAATATCTTTGTTAAAATTTTCTTAAGTGATACATATTAATATAAATTAAACAATGTTTTCTTTGTCATCACTAAAAAAACTATTAACCAAGAGTGTTTTATTTTTGGTAAGTTATTGTTATCCTCTGAGCATTTTTCTGCATTATTTTCAGATTCATGCTTTACCTTTTGCAAAAAGTGTATGTAATTTTAGATTGCTTGCTTCTAGTTAAAAGATCTCTATAAATTTCCTTATATGGTTCTAAGCACTTATGGAATAAGGGAAAAACATCTGGCAACACCAGAAACAGAAGCATCAAGATATGGCAAAATTGAAACAATTTTCGCAAAGGACCATGTGTATGGAGATAAGAAAAGAAAATTTACATACTTAAGTACTAATAGTTCACGAAAATTATTATTTTCGTGAACTATTAGTACTTAAGTATGTAGAAATTTATTACATTTCATGTTGTACGAGGGTTTTACCCATTTCTTGAATCATGTCAGAGTGAATCCGTGCTATAAAAGTACCATGTTATACGGGGAATGGTACCAATTCTCGAACCGTGTTAGAGTGAATCCGTGCTATAGAAGTGCCGTGTTATACGGGGGTTACCTGTATTTTGTTTTATTTTCATTTACACTTAAGTTATTATTTTCCATGTACTTACTTAATTTAGATAGCAAAGAATTTATATTATTTTCAACCAAATGAAGATTCCAATCCACATATGTTATAACAATATCATCTGCATACAATATATTATTCTCGGGAATAGTCTCTACAATATCATTTATATAAATACAGTAGAGCGTCGATTTTCCGAAAGTCAATCAACCGAAAGAATTCCAGTCGGCAAATTTAAATTTTTGCCAGAGCTGTGGCGCTTCAATCTTCGGCTATGTCTGGGCTACTCAAATATTTTACATTTTTGATACTAAATTAACATTTGAACTATAATTTTTTATTATTTTCATATTTTTCAATATATTTATTTTGTTTGTACAAAATAATAAAATAATTTTTAACGATACAATAGTCTTTGTTAGGCTTAATATCGACGAAAATTCAACGCGAAGCGACACGCAACGGATAAAAATTTCGACATCCGATACGTTAAACTATTTTTTCGTATTGTAAATCAGTTATCCGAAATATCAGTTATCCGGACAACCCCAGTCCCCAATTGATTCGGAAAATTGACGCTCTACTGTATTAAGAAGTAGAGGGCTAAATGAACTAAATAAACTGTTTAAAACAAATATACAGTAATTAATCTTTATTTCTGCTAAATCCCCATCAATGAACATAGACCAGCTAATTTGCATTTAAATAATGTTACAATTGCAGTATTTCTGAAACAACTGATTATTTTAACCTCACTTTAGCCTGCAGTGATCCTGTCAATGATATAAGGTGCGCTTTTAGTTTTATTTACGAACCTTTGCATTTTGTCTACAATGGCCAGAGGAAAAGCTGTTTCAGAAGATGTAAGGAATGCTATCATTGCTAAACACAATTGTGGCATGTCTGAGAGAGCTATTAGTAAAGAGTTAATGTTACAACAGTGCACCAGATTATTGTTAATTACACTAACCATGACCATGTTATACCTAACAAAGCTGCTGGACATCAGTGAAAAACTTCAAAAGTTGATGATAGGAGTTTGAAAAAAATCATAAAAACAACTGCTGTGCCACAGCATTTGATGTAACTACAATATGGAATGATACAACTGGAAAGAATGTATCTGTTTCGACAACATGTAGGAGACTGCAACAGCTGCATTTCCGGTTCTATGCAGCAGTTAACAGCACATCAAAAGAAGAAATCTTCTTTTGATGTGCTGTTAACAAATGGGTACAGTGGGCCAAAGAACATCTTTCCTGGTCTCAACAAAAGTGGCATGAAATTCTGTGGTCTGATGAATCAAAATTTGAATTATCAGCAACAGACAAAAGCAAATATGTCATTCGATCTGCCAATGAAGCTAATAATCCATTGTTGTTAACCTATTCAATGTTGAAATTCTTATTTGTTGCCTGAGATGCCACGTTGAATTTTCGTCGATGTTAAGCCTAAATTTTTTTTAAAAAATAATAATTGTGTTTACTGTATCGTAAAAAATTATTTTTTTTATGTTTCACAAACAAAATAAATATATTGAATAATATAGAAACAAAAAAAAATTATATTTGAAAAGTTCATTTTAATATAAAAATTGTGACGCATAGTGACAACTAGTATCAAAAACATTCTGATGGAAACACGAAAATATTCAGGATCGCCCACGCAGGTCAATGAGGTCAACACGAATATTTTCAGGAACAATGTAGGACAGGTTAAACTGCTCAGTGAAGTTTCCCGCCAGAGTTATGGTTTGGGGGTGTATGAGCATCAGTTGTCATTTGTTGATGGAACACTTGCTTTAGAGCAATACATTAACATTCTACAACAGTGTTTACTTCCGTCCATAAGAAAGCTATATCCAAACAGAACCTGCATTTTCCAGCAGGATGGGGCCATGTGTCATACAAGCAGAAAAACAAAACAGTGGCTTGCAGAAAAGAACAGAAGTTCTTCCTTGGCCATCCAACAGCCCAGATCTTTCACCAATTAAGAATGTATGGAACATTATGAAGAGACATCTACAAAAAATGCCTTCAGACAGTTGAAGGACTAAAAGCTTCCATCCTAACTATCTGGAATTCCATAATGGCAGATGAACACCTAGTCAACAACATACTGAAACATATGGAAGGTTTTTGGCCGCAAAAGGTGATTCAATAAAATAGAATGTTTAATATGTTCATTGATGGGGTGATGCAGCAGTCTATGTTTTTTGATGCCTGTGACTCAAGTTTGACTGGCTCAATTTTGTTAAACTTGAAGACATACAGTAATTAATCTTTATTTTTGCTAAATATCAACTTGATATTGGTTTTAAATTATGTAAAACATTCATGCAATAAATCAAAGCTACTTCTTTTAAAACCTATCTGTTGGATGGCATGTTAACTATGGCCTGGTCTAAGTTTAGTGGTGACTACTATACAAACTGTGAGTAAACCTATCATAATTCATAACACTACACTAAAAATATAAAAGAATTAATTGCTTTTGAATCAAATAAAAATGATGAATGCACTGCTAGAGCCTTGTTTGATATGTATAATAAATTTAAATCAAAGTAGATTGAGTCAAAAATGACCCTAATCATAGTAATTCGAACACAAATCAATTATTGTATTTATTCAGACACTTTTGCCCAGTGTCTGAATAAATACAATAATTGATTTGTGTTCGAATTACTAAAAATTACTGGCATGGTTTCAAAAATACCAGACCCTAATCATGTTTATCAGCCTATTTCTTTATCACTTTATCAAATTATGTTAAACTTACATATTTAATTAGATTTATAATGTATACCATAAATTAGTATGGTGCCAAGTGTGTACAAAGTTATAAATTAATCTATTTATTATATGTTATTTCTTTCTTTGCAATGGATTTTGTGTTTTCTTGATTACTTACCAAAATAATGCAAAAATTAATAACTTACACTATCATACATTTGCATTGCAAGTTCTTCAGCTAATTTTGCTTCATCTTCATCTGCTTTTTGCCCAATCCAAACATAAACAATTCCAGAATTCTCTTGATCAAAAGGCACTTTTAATATATAACTAATAAAAAAAAAAAACATTTAAACATTATTAGTAACTAATAACAACAACACATTGAAGAAAAATTAATCTTTATGTATTTTTAAATTTATCAAGACTTACCAAAATTCTGAATTTAATAATGATGCATCCGTTTGAATCTATAAATAAATATTTTATGAAGCTAATTCAAATTGAAATGAAACATAAATTATAGAGTAATACTTCAATTTTAGAGACTTTACATTATAAATTAATTTAGTTTTATAATCACAATATGATCATAATTAAAGTATAGCCAATTTTTCAACTGTTTTTGATCTTTTAATCAATAAATACTGTTTGTGTTATTTTGTATTAGCCAGTTAAATAAATATTGGTTTTATGTTGTTTTTGAAACCGTGTTTTGCGAATATATTGGACTTCGAACTCACATTTGAGAGTTATAAATAAACACTTGGCTTTATTTCCATCATTTTTAGTTGATACGTTACAACAGCACGTTTCGAGCATAAAGCCCCTCATCAGTCAACTAAAAAATACAATTTTTAAAATAATGTATATTTCTTATCATATCCATTTTTAATCTGTTATACATACAAGGTCTTAATTGGCGCGCACAACTTATTTTACAATAAGTGGAGTAATTTCATCAAAATTTGCTATAAATGATCTTTTACTTATTTGACAATATCCAGAAGTTTTAGACATAATCACATATATATCTCAAATAGAAATAAAAAACAATAATGTAAAAAATTGTCTATTTCTATTTGAGATATATATGTGATTATGTCTAAAACTTCTGGATATTGTCAAATAAGTAAAAGATCATTTATAGCAAATTTTGATGAAATTACTCCACTTATTGTAAAATAAGTTGTGCGCACCAATTAAGACCTTGTATGTATAACAGATTAAAAATGGATATGATAAGAAATATACATTATTTTAATTCTGTTTTGTAAGATATTTTATGTAATAATTTTAAAAATTATATTTTTTAGTTGACTGATGCCCGAAATGTGCTGTTGTCACATATCAACTNTCGCTGGACCTTGTGTATGAGACAAAGGAACAATGAACTTACCGTTTTCTCTTCCTTTCAAGTTGAACCTTGCCGTCGTTTCTTTCTTTGTTCTTTTCTTTTTATTCAGATGTGATGAACCTCTGTCCTCACTGGTGGCTCCAATTTGTTACGGCTAACGGGAATCTTAGCCAGGTACAAGTTCAATGTGATGAGTCAGTACCCCAAGGTTCAAATCTATTCTGGGGTATACGTTCGTTCTTCTTGCTTCTTGCACTCGTCGACGTCCTCACAACCAGAGACCAAGCCAAAGAGTGACTGACCCTGCGGTTCCTCTCGTACCGCGCAGGGTTATTCTCCCAACGACTTCCGTTTTCGCGGTTAGGGGTCTTCCGCCTTAGGGGCGTTTAGTCATAATCCAACGAACAATTGCTTCGTGCCACTGGCAACTCGACCAATCACATGTATGGTACAAAGTGTCCGTTACAGTAATTTCTTAAAAATTTTAGCAAATATAAATTTTTTGCAAACATTGCATTAAAAACATATTTCTTTCAGTTTTGTATCTACTTAAAATTTGTCATTTAAATTGTGTTTCCTTTGAATTTTTACATTATGCTAGTAATTATTTATTATAAAGCTGAAACAAGTGATATTTCCAGTTAAGCACATACTCAGTGGCTTTTTCTTTATAATAACTCAAGAATCATTATAACATAAATTATAACACAATTATATATAAAAAATAAAGACAATAATAAAAGTCAACAATTTTGATATAACAAAGTTAATTAAAACATTATTCTGTCTTCACCATTTCATGATTTAAAATCTTAATTCAGCTATACATAATTGTTTTAGATTCTAACAAAGAATTCTTATTCATAATTAGATTTATGGCTACAGATACATGGCACTGAAAATACTGTATTTCTTTAATTGAATCCTAGAGGAGTTTATTTTTAACATAAATCCTAGTCTTGAAAAAACTTAAGGATATGTATTACTTTGCAACTGCAACATCTGAACTGGGCCTTAAGGTATTTCCTTTGATTTTTACCCATCATCTTGAGACAATGGGTAAAAATCAAAGGAAACACTATAAGGCCCAGTTTAGATGAGTGAGAAAGTGGCTGTGCAATTACTGTATGGTGCATTATTTTTTCCATGGACAGAATAATTTGTTTTGAATTTGGCCATGGTTACAATACAACATTAGAAATAATTAATGTTTTCATTGTTAACTCAATTCAGTTATTATGTTGTCGTTCATTTCTGCTTTGGTGTCATTGTAAGAATCAATATCTTGACTACCATCTACCGCTTCAAATTCACCATCTTTTCTGGAGAAATGGTGAGTTTAAACCAGAGTTTTTCTAATTACCCTTAAGCAGATAAGCTGTTAAGTTATGAACTCAAACTCAACAATATTAATAATTTTATTTCAAAAACATTTGTATGAACCTTGGAACAGAAGACCATGCTGTCTGATGCTAAATAATTTGAAGAAGTAGAATTTTAGTTAAACACCTTAGCTGTCACTCTAAACTATCTTATACAGTGCTTTTCAATCCAAGGTTCATTTTTAACAGCATCTTTATTCCCAGGGTTTATTCAAAGACAGGTTTAATTGAGGAAATATGGAAACTGAAGTAATAATAATAATGTTCTTTATTAGATTTTAAAAAATTGTAATTTATCACAGTTATAATTATTTAAATTTGTTTTTTATTAACTAGAAAGTTTGACTAAAAATTATCTTTAATATAAAATAAGATTTATGCTACATCATATAGTATTTAAAAATATATAAGCTGTGTTCATATATAATAGAATCCATTTACTATAAACTATTATCAGTTGGTTAATATTATAAGACTTAGCATGTCTAAAACACACAAGTTAAAAATATACAGTATTTATAAAACTTATTTAATCAAAGTTCAGTAATAGTTATTATCATCTTTAGATAAATAGCAATTTTTAAGCTCTTTTCATAATATCAGCCTCAACAGATGGCTGATAACATGCATTTATTATCAGTCTCAATCAGTGCTTTAAATGTTCAATGTCAATTGTTTTAATCATTATTTGTTCACAGTACAGTAGTTTAAATTGCTGGCAAGTCTTACTTCAATTATAAGCTAACTGTTATTAAATTAAAGATGGTACTGCAAAAAAAAAAGATTATAGATAAACAATACTGGTTAAATTAATAAACTAATAAATAATAATTGTGTTTTTTTAATTGTTTCAACATGCATTCTTATTTACTTATGTCACTTAATGTTGTTAGTGAATTATTATCATCAATGTAAACAAGATCCAAATTAATTACAATAAGCAACTTTTTCTGTATTTGAATTTATAAGTAAAATTTCATAATTTATGGAATATAAATCATAAACCCCAATTATCCAAGTTCAAATTAACCAAAGTTCTCTATTATCCCAGTATACTACTATTCTTATACTGTAATTCATAAAAGAAAATTTAAAATGATAACATGTATTTTAAAGCAATTTGTTTTTGTTACCTTTTACCATTTAACTTCAATGTGAGACAAATCATTGATATTAAATTATAACTCCAATAATACACATTTTTATTCTTAAAATTATTGTATGTTTATTATCACTTATTCACAGAAGTGATGTAAAAATTTTAGTTCTTATATATGACTAAATTCACTAAGCTATTAGGGTCAGTCAAATGAAAATGAGACAGATGGGAAAAAAGTAAGTAAACTGTTTATTATTTCAAAAGTAATCGCCATAACTGTTAATACATATATCCCACTGTGAGACAAGATGGTCAATGCCTTTATAGAAAAATGTTTGTGGTTGCCTACGGAACCATGATTGTACCCAGGTGTGCACCTTTTTGTCCAAAGCAAATTGACGGCCACGAATGTCTTACTTTGGGGCTCCGAAACTATGGAAATCGCATGGGGAGAAAGCGGGACTGTATGGAGGATGTGTAAGGGCTTCCCAATGAAACTTCTGCAGCGTAGTCGAAACAACCTTGGTAACACGTGGGCAGGCATTTTCCTGCAACAGAATGATGCTGTCTGTCAATGTTCCTGGGTGTTTGGATTTGATGGCATGCTTCAATTTTTTCAAAGTTTCCATGTACCGCTGTGCGTTAATTGTGGCGCTGTGTTCCAGAAAGTCAACGAGCAGCGGGCCTCCATAGTGATGTCGGACATACACTCAACTCATCAACCTCACTTCGATCACGTCTAACAGACAAATGGCACAGCGGTGAACGTTCATGCTGTTCCTTCCTGATTCCCAATTGAGGGCACTTCTATACACACACCTATTTGCATTACCAACTTCTGTGCCACACTTGTTATNGATTGATTAGCTGTAGAGAACTAACATATGATAAAAGTGATAATTAAGCTCTAAACAGTTTTCTCATTATATAGAAGGGAGAATTACCAGAAACTTATCAACTTTGAAGACACAAGTTCAAATAGAATGTCTAATTATATCAATTAAAGCAGAGATTCATGCACAGAAATAAATAGCAAGAACAAAAGACAAGCAAACATACATGTGCCTTTGGAAAAATTGTAATGGCAGAACAAATATGCCTGAAGCATGACAAGAATGTGTTATACAAAATTTCAAGTGTTCTTAATAAGTTTAGACAAAGGAATAGCTGTTTGAGGATTCATAGATGCAAGTTAAAATTAATGTATATAATGTTGCATCATTATATAATCCATTTCTGCTTTGGAATTGACTATTAAGCACAGAAAGCCTGAGAGTTAGCCATACAAAGATATTGTAATTAATAAAATTTGGCATTAGAAGTGTTAAGCATCATTTTGTATTAAATTTAATTATTAGAAATTAACCATCAATTAATTTATAAAAATCTAGAAGAAAAGATCTAATCTGGAATGTCACTCAAGTCTGAAATTATTGTATGTGTGAGATCTGAAATTTTATTAACCAAAAATTTAATTATTTTACTTCTGTTATATAACGGATTGAAAAAAAGAAACAATCTTAGCTGAGAACATTTGAAACCCTCATTCCATAACTGTCAACATTGTTCCCACACAGCCTGCAGCTCGACTTGCACAAAAGTTTATAGTTAGCATCCAAATTTCGTCATTTG